AAAAAAAAAAAAAAATGCAGAAGCATGGCGGGGTGGGGGGGGGGAGAGGCTAAATTGTTTTTCTCTCTTTTGCTATTTTCTTGTCACTCTGGAAGATTAGCTGTAATTTAACTATCAGTGCTGTGGAGGAATGATTAGTAATGTTTATCCTGGATTGCTTTCTCTCTTAACCTGTAAGGTTCATTAACAATATAAGACTCCTTCATGTTAACATTTTCCTTGGCAGGAACCTGAATTATACTTTACAGATCCATACCAACTGCTGCACCTTTTCACAGAGCTGGAAGAACAGAACTTGTCTCTGATTCAGAATTCTCAGGAGACAGAGGAAACCTTGGATGAGCTTCGACATACTTTGGTTAACACACGCTATAAAATGTAAGTAATTACAAGCGATTGCCCATAATAATCCCCTACATCACAAGGATGTTCTGTTTCTTTCCAAATATGAGCAATGAATAGACTCAGACACTATTTCTGTACCATCCACCATTACAGTATTGCTTTTTAGTCCTGCTGATAGAAAATGTTGTGCCATACATCCCCCTATAGCTCAAGGCATATTAGCATCTTTTGTGAGAAACAAAAATGGAAGACTAAAGACACATTTGTAAGGTTTGCAATCAGTTTCCATTCCATTTTTGAGAGTGAAGGATCAGGAGGTGTCAAGACATGCCACCTTCATTCATCTATTTCTGCCAGCTGTTGCATTAGGGTACAGACTTACCCTAATGCAACAGCTGCATGGTTTCCACAACCTGAAATATTCTAAATAGTTTGTATTGCCATAAATGGTAAGAGTAGCAGCTTTAGGTAAAATGTGCACATGCTAATTTACATGATAAAACATCAAATTAGCAGTAATTACTATGATTTAAATATTAGTACAATGCATCTCAGGGAAGACTATGATCAGGTGACCAGTGAGTTTACTCAGAATTTTTTCCCAAGTGTTAAATAGTTTGGCAAATTCAGAGACACTGTGCTCCCTTCTGAAAAGGACTGGGGTCTATCACTGAAAAGGACATGGACCAACTCCCCACACCTTAATATCCTCAGTAGCAGTATCCAACAGCCCCACTAATCTCTCCACTGTTGCACCCAGTTCCCCCATGGAGCCAACCAGCATTTGTGCAAGAGGAAAGCACAAAAAACTAATCCCTTGGAACAAATGGAGGGATGCTGGCAAGGCATCACAAAACTTTGCCAGAACTTTGGGAAAGTCCAGGACCTGGGAGGTGGGAAGGAGCAGATGTTCTTGCCAATGGAAAGCTGCAGCTCCAAAGAAAATGCTGCAAAACTGTTTAGTAGAGTAAGAACTGAGCAGATACTGAATTAGCTCACTTTTCCAAGTTCCACAAGGAAGCACCTCTGTCATTGTGTATATGGAGAAGTCTTACAGAACTAAATCTAGATGGCCAAGTACCTTTTACCAGATATATGTTGGGCCGCTTCAATGGACTCCATGTGACATTTGCTCCTGTAATTGTATGGTATAAAATCAATCATGTCAAAGCTCTTCCAAAAATGACTTCATCTCTTCTGGACTAGGGACCGTGAAATAGAACAGTTGAAACTGCTTGCTGTCACTCTGCAAGCCAACATTATTAAAGAGGAGGAGACAGCAGCAGACCTTGAACTTAAAGCACGTGTCTTTTCTTTTGGGGAATACAAAGCAGATGTTCAGGTATGTATATAAATCAAGTCAATGGACAAAGCTTGAACCTGAAGATCAGAAGATACATACAGTACTTATAGACCATGCCCACAGAATGGTGCAAATGGGGGATGATACTTTTCCCCAGGGGGAAAATAAAATGTTACAAGATCATGAGACCATGTTCCAGAGTCCACAAGGTAATTTGGATTCTCCACTGTGATGGCAGAAACAGTGCTGTGATCTTGTACGGGGCAAATTGATATTGGAAATCTTCACCTCATGCTCTTCCTCTGCCACTCTTTACTCAGATCCCAGGAAAAGGTAAAAAGAGACATGGTGAAGATTTAGGTGGCATGCTGTTGCTGTTGAAGCCACAACCTCAACCTAGGGGAAAACTGAGATCAGATCTGAGCTCATCTTTTATTTAGTGTGTGTGTGTGTGCATGTGCGCGCACGCATGCAGGTGTGTGCATGATGCATTGTAATGTTTTACCTTCTGTAGTTCTCCCTGCCTGGAATGTCAAACGTCTGTGCATTTTTGCTTCTCTCCTGCTATCAAGAGCCCACCTAACAGCTAGGTTCCTTAAAGACAATAAAGATGGGAGGGCTTTTGAGGAGATGTTATGAATATAACTGTAAGCTAATGTTAGATTCCCAGAACCTAGATTTATGGAGCCTGAAAGTTTACAATTGATTCTTAATTTGCAGGATAAAATGTTGGTGAATTTGCATCGAAAGGTGCTGGAAGTCTATCGTCGCTGCATTGGGGAGAATGAGGCAAACCTAGGAACCTTGCAGATGCTCACTGTTATAGAACACCAGTTAGATGATTTACTAGAATGCCTTGAAAGGGTATCTCCAGCAAAGATAGAACAAGCTGAGAAAGCCAAAGAGAAAGAACGAAGGATGAGGTAAGATAAAAATCCTATTCAAAGAGTTGTCTCCAATATACAATAGTGCTTTCAACAGGATGAAGGTGATATTCCTCCTCCCCATCCTCTTATGCATCCTCTGGTTAATCTTATTGATGCCATGATGCTTGTTGCCATCAAAACTGCTTTGTGGGCATGTTAAGAGCATCATATGAAAGCCACTATCTAGCTTCGATTGCAAACCAGAAGTAATCGTTTGATATGGATGGATTTAGTGTTCCTTTGTTACATGCATAAAAACATCTGGTTTTGCAAGCATCCCCTGGATGTTTGCTTGTTGTCAATCATACAGGTTTAATAAGGACACACTAAACCGACAGTTTGAACTGCACCAGCACTTTCAATAAAGGTTCTGATGGGAGTAATAAAATGAAGTGTCACAGAAAGTACAATTAACTCCATTTTGCAGAGTGCATGCTGTAAATAGTTTGTCAATATATGATACAAATCCCAGATCTAGATAAAACAATGAATCAGGATCGCAGATAGTATACACATAGGAAGCGTTTAGACGTTTTGGAACCAGCTTTTGATCCTGGCAGAGACTTTCAACGTAGCATTATGTGAAGAGAAAAGGTCTTTGTGGATCCAAGGCCCTGTGACGCAGACTAGTAGAATTCTCCAAAACAAATTTGGGCTATGTGGCTTGCAACTCTAACTTTTAATCTGCTCTTTTATTTGGCCAGGATGAGAGAAGAAAAGATCAGGCAGCAGAGGCTGTTGCAGGAAGAGAGGTTGCAACGGGCCCTGGCAAGAGCACAAGCTGATGTTAAGAAGAAGGTAAGTTGAGTAACTTCTGAGCATCTGCTCTTGCATCTTTTTGTGATTTCAGTAGTTCAGACTGTTGTATGAATTCTTCCATCAAAAGTCTTTTGTAGCTCTACTTCTGAACTGTGTCTACACATACACAAGAGTAAGGTCTGACTGGATACGGTATCTACATCTGTGCATTGTTTCTAAGATCATACTTTCCAAATCCAAAAGGGTTTTTTGATCAATGACATCTCTTGTTAAAAAGTGAAAGCCTAGCTCAGGCTTTCCCCTTTCTACAGTTTACTATCACATATAATGAAAATAGTAAGGGATAACTACTACTACTACTAATTTATATGCCACTCAACATTCAAAAACAACTATTTCAGCAACTAACGAATGAGCTTGTAGATTATAAGTTTGGCAAGCCTGAGAAGGAAATATTTTTATTTTAGAAAATATCAACTTCATTTTCAAGTTATTTATGGAATTCTGAGATTGCAAGCAACTGAGGTGGACATGAATGATCACTCTTTAGAGCATAAGTTACTTTTGTTTTTGCTCTTGATGCAGAACCTCTAACCTCTAACACCCAACACCTAAACTGAAGAGCTCTTGTAAATACAGATCACTCACTAGAGGCCTTTTTCCTGTCCTCTCACTGGGAGATTTTCTATTTGGCTGCTGCAAAGGGGGAAGAAAACCCCTCCTATCTAGCTTTACGTTGACTAATCAGATCTGTCTGGCAATTCCACAAGCAGCACCAATTCATTCACACACCACAAGGCCAGACACAGGATTAGTTGTATTAAGAGATGCAGGCAATCCAGTAAACCATAGTAGTACACTGTCAACTTGATGGCCCTTATGCTTGTTTATTAAAACCTAACTTTGCATTAAAAATAACCTTTAACATGTTCTTTTGATTTTCTCCCATGTCATTCAACATCTACATAAATCTTCTGAGAATGATCATTTAGATTTGAGGTCTATAGTGATCAATATGCAGATAGTAACAATACAGGTGTCAGGGAAGTTGTTGATGTTCTGACTCAATACTTGGGGTTGACAACAATGGACTAAATGAAAAACAATCCTGTAAAAGGAGACTTAATCCACACAAGACAGAGAAGCCTGAATATGAAGATAAAATTTGGAGTAATAATACAACTGATTTTGGATAAGATCATTTTTCTCCAAAGAATCAGGGTTTTTCCAGCCAAAGCAAGTATGCCACCTGGGTCAGCTCCTGACAAAGTCAGACAGGGCCACTATGATGACACACTTTAGTTACATCTAGGTTGGGTAACTGCAATGTGCTCCATGTGAGACTATCTTTGGAGCCTTCCGAAACCAGAGCCACAGTAGAAAGTAGCAGGGGGGAAGCTGGTTTGCAAGTAAAACCACGTTATGAAAATACAGTCTATCACTTAGCACGCTCCCTCCTGGCACAATCTGAAGCATTTATGACCTTTAAAGCCCTAAACAACTTATATCCAGAATACCATAGGGATTGCCCATATGAGGCTACTCATCATTTTCCATATCACAACTATACCAAATATGTGATTGATAAGGCAAAGAAACTAACTGGTTGTTGCTCAGCAAAGGAATCTATCAGAGGTACACCTGAATTTTAGAACTCCATAATTTGGGAGGCCAGGTTGGAACTTAACCTTGGTTAAGATTTCACTCTACAGGAACTTACCTTTTTTTTCGGTTTTTACTACTTCATAATGTGTCTCACTGCTTTAATGACCCTTTGTATTGATCTTAACTACTGTTAGCCACTGTCAGTGACACTAAGTTCCAGAAAGGCAGAATTATTTTTATATATAAATAATACCACACCTATTAAGCAGCACCAGGATAGTAGCCCTGATAGGCTACTATCCGATAGGTATGATGCAAGTTTAGCTGCTGTGAAGATTCCAGCAATGGCAGACTAGTCCTCCCTGGTTATCAAGACAGAACTTTACACCTACACAATAGATCAGTTCTAACATCTTACTTTGTATTTTGGGAAGCACTGTACTTCCCAAAATACAACATTTTGAGCTGATTTTCTAGGGATTTTTTTGGTCACACATGCCTTCCATAAGCAGCAGCCTCTTGAGGTCACATACTGGACCTAACTGTGATTTGAGAGTTAGAACAGAAATCACAAACCATAGAAAGTGGTAAACTACAAACCTTCCGGAGCAAGGACTAGGGCAAGGCTCACTTACATTAAATCAGGTATTTGAATGAAGTAGTACAGAAATTATTACTGCTGTTCTACATAGTTTTAGTTTGGCAAATAGCAAAAGCAACTACAGGTGAAACTCGAAAAATTAGAATATTGTGCAAATGTTCATTTATGTCAGTAAGGCAACTCAAAAGGTGAAACCAATGAGTGGGACACTTTGAGCCTAGAATATTGAACCTTTTCACACTATTCTAAATCCTTGTGCTATTGATGTCATGTAATATTCTAATTTTCTGAGATTGTGAATTTGGGGTTTTCATAAGCTGTACGCCATAATCATCACAATTATACCAAAGTAAGGCTTGACATATCTCGCTTTGCATGTAATGCGTCTATCTTATATATTGGTTTCACCTTTTGAGTTGCCTTACTGACATAAATGAACATTTGCACAATATATCCTTGTGCTATTGATGTCATGTAATATTCTAATTTTCTGAGATTGTGAATTTGGGGTTTTCATAAGCTGTACGCCATAATCATCACAATTATACCAAAGTAAGGCTTGACATATCTCGCTTTGCATGTAATGCGTCTATCTTATATATTGGTTTCACCTTTTGAGTTGCCTTACTGACATAAATGAACATTTGCACAATATATCCTTGTGCTATTGATGTCATGTAATATTCTAATTTTCTGAGATTGTGAATTTGGGGTTTTCATAAGCTGTACGCCATAATCATCACAATTATACCAAAGTAAGGCTTGACATATCTCGCTTTGCATGTAATGCGTCTATCTTATATATTGGTTTCACCTTTTGAGTTGCCTTACTGACATAAATGAACATTTGCACAATATATCCTTGTGCTATTGATGTCATGTAATATTCTAATTTTCTGAGATTGTGAATTTGGGGTTTTCATAAGCTGTACGCCATAATCATCACAATTATACCAAAGTAAGGCTTGACATATCTCGCTTTGCATGTAATGCGTCTATCTTATATATTGGTTTCACCTTTTGAGTTGCCTTACTGACATAAATGAACATTTGCACGATATTCTAATTTTTCGAGTTTCACCTGTATAATTGTTTTTACTGTTAGCTGAGTATCTTCTGCTAGGAAAGTCAGGTAAAAATACTTTAAATTTTTAAGTAAGTAGTAAATACTCCTTGCTGGAAGAAAATACTTTGTTTCTTTCTGCTGTAGTCAAATTGTATAAAATAATGACAGAAGGGAAGAAGCATAGTTAGAAACTTCTTTGTGGAAGGAAGAGATAAAACAGTACTCAAGAAAAAAGGCGGTCAGGAGAAGTTGGTCTTGCTTTTACTGATGTATACTTAGTTCAAAATGAATTTATTTGCATATTTCAGTATAAAATGTGCAGAGTTGTTCTTAAGTGTCCCTCTGATCGTTTTTTAGACTGGCAGAAGATTAATTTTTCGTTCTGAGCCTCCTGCATTCAAGGAGAAAGAAGATCAGGATCAGGGGCTGATTGATAAAGAAAAAGAAGAGCTGCTGTACTACTTTACTTAGCAGTTGAAAGCTGTAAGAAGTTTCGAAGCAAGTGACAAACTAACAGAAAATGCTTCAGTGGATAGTCTGCAAATTTGAGGAGAAAGCTATTCTATCCTATATATAGTGACACACAGCAGATCAGAATATAGATGAAATCTGTTCATAGCTGTAAACCAGAAATCCAAATTTTGCTCAGTTTTTATTGCCTGTAAATTAAGAGTAATAGAAAACAATGTCTACCAAAGTGAACCAAAATATCATAATCAGACTAGTCTAGTCTTGCAGCTAGAAAAATGGATGTACCAGTGACATGTATGAATTTCTTTTAAAAAGTTTCAATCTTCAAAATCAGATTTAAATTTCTTGTAATTAAGCAGACTGTATGGACATAACCCCCCCCAAAAAAAGGTTGAAATGGAGAAACTGGACATTAATTGGTTTTATTAGTCCTTTTAACTGTGATTATAAATATCCACTGCCAGCAATGGACTTTGCCAGAATAAATCTGAGGCTTGCTCTCAAGCAATTAGGAATTTACAACGGTAGTTAAAACTGAGTATATAAACTTCATAAAAGAACACATTTGCCTGTCCAACAGAAGCAATGGCTTATTCTTCAATAAGCAAGACTCCGTAAAACAGAAGCACCACGTTAGATGGATACAGTTCACATTCTTACCCAGTTAGGGATCCTCTTTTGGTTAAAAAGAACTGAGTGGTCTGCCCCAGACATGCTTTTAAGGAAACATAGGCCACACCTCCTATGAAAACCATAAAAAGCTATTTCTACTCAAAGAAAGGGAAAGGGGGGGGTGAGCAGGCTTCTTGTGGCCCACCTACTTAACCTAAACCTGCCTCTGGCGCTTGATAAAGGCCAGGTGTGCTTGCATCTCACCTTGCAGAGGATCACTATCGCAGTAAGTGTGTGAACTATTCCACTGAGTTTCTATTTGAGGTGACAATTTTTGAGGACAAAATGCCCCCATTTTTCTTTAAAACTGAACCTCAGTGATAGAAAGAAAAGACAAAATGCTTTAGAAATAAGCAGTTTGTTCACTTTTTCACTTAAAGGTTTTATCTCAGAAATAAAAATAATTTATGTTTTGATAATGTAAATGTATAGTAATAGGTCAAGCTAGTCAGGTAAATGTTTTACACAGACAATGAAAAATATCCAGTCAAGATTTTTTTTCTAAAAAACATTCACAAATCAAAATCTTAATGTGATCTGTATAAAATGCTTCCAAACTACATTCTTCTGAAAATGAAGTTCAAAAGGCACAGCATTAATAAGTATATTTCTATTTATGGGTAAATCTTAATTTGGAATTACTATTAGGGATAATCTAAGACAGAAATGATTCATGGTTTAATAACACAGTAGAAAATAGTATTTCCAAAGCCATTCTAGCTGTATTATCCTTCTGGTGATATAATATGAAGAGAGACCAGGCCCAAGCACCTCCCTCCAGATTTCAACAGCTCTAAGAAATATATTTCCTAAAGCTCCTGACTTCCAAAGCAGGGATGGCAGGTCCCTTACTACACCAAATGTTGCACAGTAATAGTTTAAGGTCCAGAGAAGGCTGTTTATCAGTCTTCCTCTCGGTCAGTGCTGCCAAACGTTTCAGTGGCAATAGGGCGAAGGTAGTTTTACTTAAGCAAGAGTTTCAGGAATATGAACCCAATTTAGAATGAGATGGGAGAAGGGTCAATCTAGAGAAATTTGTTGCTGACTCTCCATACATTCAAAACAACTGACCTTAATTTTAGTGCATCTCCTAACTGTAAATAAATATGCAAATTCACAAGTGTTCCTCTGTGGGATATCTTTGTATAAAAAACAGCAGTGCTCACACAACTTTTTAACTAAGCTGTACATAGGCATAATTTTAATGCCATGTAGGCATCTCATGAATAGAGTGTTTAAGTTCCAGACTTAAATTTTTTGTAAAATACTGACATTTTTCTCTGCTTAGCTGAAATCTTAGTATTTGTTCTTAAAAGGCTGTATGAATTATTTCCTATTATATATAATAAAAGGGTTTTTTAAAACATATATTTAAAGATGTTCTTTTCATTTCAGTCAAGATGTTACTTACATGCAACTGACACTAGCTGGAAGCTCTTTCCTCAATTAGATAGTCTGTATGTAAATGGTAAACAGACCATCAGTGTAATCATTTCCACATTTATTTGGGAGTAAGCTCTACTGAAATTGGCAAGACTTATTTTTGAGCAAAAATGCACATGATGGGTATATGTAATAAAAGTGACTTCGTACAAATTGGCAATACTGTTTTATATTATTGTAAACATAACCAAAGTGATAAGAATTAACATCTGCTAGGCAGCTTTCTAAAGTTCAGTGTACAATGCTAAATTAGAGATAGCAAGAGCAAGAAATCATATTGCTCTACTAATTCAACCTTTACTATCCCTGAGTATGGTACTATTTTTTATGTTCTTATCTCTTTAAAATGTCAGTTTGCAAAAATAAAGATAATTGGTTTTCCTGTTTATTCCTTCATTTTAACCCAAAAGGTAATTAGGGGTTCATTTCTTGTATCAAGAAAAAAGTGCTAAGCTTAACTGTTATGTAGTATTCTGATCATTATTCTTAAAATCAGTGTGGACTATCACCACTGCACATTCGCTCTAATGAAGGGCTCTAATTCCCCCATATGTATGTTTTCCTGACTGTAAGACAGAACATACCAAGATCTCCAAACACCTTATCAAATAAAATTTACTGAACAAGTTTTCCATTGCACGATAACCATCAAGCATGCCAGCACAGGTGATCATGCTTCCAATTTTCACTTTTTTCTTTAAGAGCAGGAACAGACTCTTATTTCTCAGGATGCTTCTGTATCCAAATGTTCCAGTGCTTCTGTCTCCAATACAATCATTCAAGGTCTTGTAGATTAATGGTGCTTCCTGTAAACTGGGAATTATCAGAATTGGCATCTTCTTCAGCAGAATTGTGTGGCTCCTGTTTAATGCAAAATGTTTTTAAAAAGTTCAGAATTTCACAGCAACTGATCAACTATATTCCTTAGATTACACAAACACTGCACTCTCCAACATCCATTAACTTTATGTATATTGGAATAAACTTCTAATTTTTCTGAACTGGCAAGACCTCTCACTAAAAAAGCCTGCAACATGTTTGTACTGTCTGCTTCTCCTTTATACTAACCTACCAAATTTAAAAGACACAACCAAGCATAGAAGGCACCTTATTGTAAAGTTATAGTAGCTGTTAATTTTATTATAACGAATGAGCTGAAGCTGCATTTATCCAATTTGCACCTTGAAAGTTTTGTACCTGAAGAATATGAACAGGTAAATCCACTGTCAGCTGAGAGTGTGAAGAGGAAGACTGAGAACTGAGCTGGAAGGGTAGATCTCCTTCTCCTGGAGAATCATCCTAACAACAAAGGAGAGAAAGTGAATTTCTATCTACAAACAGCATTCTCCCACCCAGCAACCACCGGGTCATTTTTTACTAACATACGGACATGCTTAGAAGCAGCAACACGTTATACTTAATGAAGCATTTTAATAACTCCAATTAGGAGTCCTAACTACTTTCACTGAGGCCACACAATTTATAACACTACCTAATACTGACTTAATACTACATCTTAATTTTTATTAATCAAATTTCTATCCTGCTGCAATCAACTTCTTCCAGAAGGGAAAAATTGTTAGAGCTAAATGAACTGCCAAAGGGAGTCCATTCCGGAGCTTCTCCATCTTTGTTTGCAGAGTAAGCATACAGTCAATTTGATTTTAGTGTTGTCCATTTGGTGATATCCATGCATGGGGTCATCTCTGAGGTTGTTGGAAATAAAAAAAAGAACCCGGAGAGTCAGTCTGGTGTAGTGGCTAAGATACTGGCCTAGAAACCAGGAGTCTGTGAGTTCTAGACTTGCCTTAGGCATGAAAGCTGGCTGGGTGACTTTGGGCCAGTCACGCTCTCTCAGCCCAAACCACCTCACAGAGTTGTTGCAGGGGAAAAATATGCAGGAGGATTAGGTATGTTTGCTGCCTTGAGTTATATATAAATAAGATGGGATAAAATGATTTGCTATAAACATTGAATTTTCTTGGCAGAGTCTGATCCCTGTACGTTAAAGCCATTTTTTTCTATTACAGTCCTCACTTAACCACCACATTTGGGACCGGCAATTCCGTTGCTAAGCAATGCGGTAGTTAAGCGAGACACACATGACCGTGATGGACTTACGACCTCACTTCCACCATGGTCATTAAGCAAATCACCTGTGATGGTTAAGCGAGACGTCACATGACTGCAACTTGTGATTTTACTGCCAGATTCTCCATTGTCAGAAGTCAGCTGTAAAGTGCACAAATGGCAATCACATGACCGCAGGATGCTGCAAGGGTCATAAACGTCCACCAGTTGCAAAGCACCTAAATCTCAATCACCTGACCTCAGGGACACAACAACTGTAAGTGTGAAGACTGATCATAAAGTTACTTTTTCAGTGCCGTTGTAACTTCAAACTATCACTAAACAGGGCAGTTGTTAAGTGAGAACTACCTGTATTCCAAATGCTATCTTACTTTCAACTTTAGCATTCTAGTCTCAAATAATCCATATGACATATTATTTGGTGTTATGTCAATAAGGTACTACAAATCCTCATAGCTTCGTCTGCATCTGGAGTTGGAACAAAGACTCAGATCATTGTAATACTGATTGGTTTGGCCTGGATTTAAACTGAGACCATTCTATTGTTTAGGGAGTTTCACTTGAGCACTCTGACACCCATCTATTAGTAATGATGGTACTCCATTTCATCTATGATTTTCTTCTCTGTAGTAGAAAATCTGATGCTTCTCTGATGTGAAGTGACTCATTCCAGCCCATTTAAGTTTGCTGGTTCCCATAATGTCAATACTGAATCTTGATATTTCTAATCTGACATCAAATTTGTCTTGGTTCATGGTTCTAACATTCCATGTACCAATGGTACATTTATTACTGCAGCAATGTACCAGAGAAATTTTTAGTAGCACACTTCCCTCTTCACAGGTAGAGAAATCCTACAGCCCCTCAGTTCCTCTCCAAAGGAGCACAAAATTGTACCTGAACTCATTTTCCCCTTTTCCCTGACTTTATCAACTGCTAAATACATCTTTTTATATTTCTGTTCTTTATTACCAGTATCCTTCAAAGAAATAATTCAAAGAAATATTTATTGGAAATATTTACTTCCAAAAACACAAGAATAGTAAAACTGATTTAGTCATGTGATAAAAAACAGAAAAAGAGAGGGGCTGGAAACTTAAACTTTGCAATTATTTCCTAAGCAGAATTTGGGTTTGCTGCACCAAACCATATTATGCTTGTTCTATCAGCCAGCCAGCCAGCCAGCCAGCCAGCCAGCCAGCCAGCCAGCCAGCATCTATCTCTACCAATATATTGTATAATAAAGTAAGTTTACTTTGATTATATCCCAGCTACATGTTCCTGAAAAAAGCAGATAAGTTAAGTCGCCAATTTTTACCTGAAGCAACTGAATTTGAACAAACTGCGTGCCAGCTGAAGGGTCTCTTACTGTTAGACTTCCATTTGGCAAAATACTGTTGCATAACCGATTTCCATGACTAAAACAGTTCACTTTATCACTTTTGTTTTTTCTTATGCCAGAGTCAGTCGAACCTGAAATAAGAGATGGCATTTGTATAATATAAACCTGTATTCTGAAGTGAGTTTCATTAGATATCTGAAAATATTTTCTGTAAACAATTTTGAATAAAACATGCGCTTCTTACCATGTACGGAGCAGATTATTTAAATATTTTGTCAAGCATATTAATAGATGGGGCTGCATACAAAGAGTTCTGTTCACAGAAAAAGAAAGGGTGATTTCCATACCTATTCACTTCCCTTCATCCTCTAAAAATAGCTCTACAGAACTGGAGGACCTTGAGAACATGAGGATAGATTATATATACTCATTCCTTTCCATACTCATTCACCTGCCTTGGAAAGGAAGAATTACAGAGAATCACCTTTCTTCCTCCTTCCATAAGATATAAGCTGGGACATTTCCTTCAGCATCAAGGGGTATCTATCATGTTTCTTCTCATTCTTTGATCCTACAGTTTCACAGTAAATTATTTCAACTTCTTTAACTTCCATTCTAACTAATGCAAAAGTCAGATATTCTGCTTTGCATTCCTATTAATTAGATCTATGTCATGTACCTTCAAAGCAGTGGGGGGGGGGGAGACTTGCTATGTTATTCAGAAAACTGTCTTCTAGGAAGTCATTTTGGACTGCCAATGTCCCATTTCTCTTATTTTTCCTTTACATGAGCATAAGAATACTTCCCTTCAACTTCCGCCCGGACAGGGCAGCGCGCTGACGCGTTTCTCGGAGCTCCAGGGCACCTGAGCTGCATTTGATCAGCAGTGGGTCTAGAGGACAGAAGACCACTGAAATACTCCCCTGGAGAGGGGGAGTTCGGAAGATCAACCACAGAGCCGCGGATGTTGTTCCTCCTGCCTTTCCTGGCTTCCACCACGGGAAAGCCGGTGAGTAGAATAGCGAAGGCGGCTGGGAAACATCGTGCTTTACAAATGCAGAGAGCCTCACGAATGAGAAACATTAGCGCTGCAGTCCGGCGTCTTAGATCACTTTAGAAGAGGAAGGGGGAATTTTTTTTTTTTCTACTCTCCTCCTCTTTGGATTACTTTTTTTTTCTTGTTTTATTAATATCTAAGATCTATCTCTGGACTACACTTTCAGATGCTGGTGAGTTACTTTTTTATTCTCTGTCATGGAATGTAATGTGTGGAAATTAACAAATGGACCTTGCTATGATATGGAAACTTTTTATGGAATTTAAATAGAGGATTCTACAAACTGTTAATGGTTTGCCTTTTTATGGGATTACAATTTTTTTTTTTTCCTTTTGCTTTTCCTTGCTTATAAACTTATATTGGACTATGAATCTGCTGTTGGATTTCTATAGTTGAGTTTTCCTTTTTTTCTTTTTTTCTTCATGTCGAACTTAAAAGCTTGAGAATTGAGAATTGTTTATATATTTTATTATCTATATTTGGGAACAATAAGAAACAGCTTTCTATAGCTGGGATTATAACTGCTGTGTTGTTAGAGAACTTGGAAGAAAGCTGTTGCTATAGGATTATAACTGTTGTCCTTTGAAGATATTGAATTTCGCACTGTCAACAATGGCTTCAAGAGGGAAGAAGGATAAGGAAAAGGAGAGAGAATCAACAAGAACTTCTACAGAACCGGTTGAGGGGGTGGAGACATGAAAAAAGGATTAGATGCAATTGCTAGCTTATGCAACCAGATGGACCAAAGAGACACAAAAATGAATGAAAAAATGGACAACTTAAAGAAGGAATTGACTCAAGAATTGAGAAATGAGGTACAGAAAGTGAAGGATGTGGTTGATGATTTGTCAACTGACCCCAAGAATACTCAA